CCTAGGGAGGGTCCTTGGGGGCGTCGCCGCCCCTGGGACGGCCACTGGGTGCGCCGACGTTCCTGCGAGGGCCCCTTAGGGCGCCGCACCTGGTAGGGCAAATGGGAGGGCCCATGGGAGCGTTGCCCCCGGAGGGCATCTGGGGGCAGTTGTTTTTGCAATAATTAGAACAATGGGAGATATGACGTTAAATAAATAAACCACCCATGGCATTTCCAGTATCATCGAATTATGAACAATGTAAAGGAGAATAAATATCCAACAGGAAAACATAAATTGGGGTGTTGTGCTGACTGACTGCTCTGTTCTCCTATTAGCTGTTATTTGATGTATTTATATTTTAGTCCCCTGTGGTGAAAGAAGACTAGAGTCGACCTTTTTTTAGGTTTTATTGTTCATATAACTGACCAAGGGTAGTATGGCATCTGGAAGAGAACAAAAGAATATTCTAGTAAGTGAAGGGAACAATGAAAATGACTAATATAATATAACCCCAAACAAAACAAAACCCAATGATAAGAAACATAACATATATATACAAACGCACGTAACAAGACAGAAGACCCTGGCAAGCCCTGGGGTCCCAGCAACACCTAAAGAGGTCCCCTGAGGGCGCTGCCTCCATTGGGAAGGCCACTAGTAGCGCTTCAGCATCTGGGAGGGCACCTGAAAGCCCCACCGCCCCTGGGAAGGCCCCTGGGGGCACCAACGACCCTCCCAGGGCTCCTGGGACTCCACATCCCCTGGCAGGGCCCCTCAGAGCGCCGTTGTCCCTGAGAGGGCTCCGGGGGCGCTACTGGCACTGGGTGCGCCGTTGCCCCTGGGAATGCCCCTGGAAGCGCCGCACCTGTCAGGGCAAATGGGAGGCCCCCAGGGAGCGCTGCCCTGTACGGCCCCTGGGTTCAGTTGTTTTTGCACAATTTAGAAAAATGGGAGATATGACGTTATATAAATACACCGCCCATCGAATTTCCAGTATCATCGCATAATAAACAATGTAAAGGAGAATAAATATCCAACAGGAAAACATAAATTGGGGTGTTGTGCTGACTGACTGCTCTGTTCTCCTATTGGCTGTTATTTGGTGTAGTTACATTTTAGTCCACCAATCACAGTTAAGTAAGGGATTGGTGGACGTATGCAATATGTACGACACCACAACCAAGCAAACTATAGGGATCCTGCGAGGGGACGTCTCTAGTAGGCCCCGTGGTGTCGCCCCCGCCCCTGGGAGGGCCCCTGGGAGTACCGCTATCCATGGGAGGGCCCCTGGGGGCGCCGACAACCTTGGGAGGGCCCTGGGGGCGCCACAGCCCCTGGAAGAGGCCCTGGGGGGGGGGGCGGGGGCAAAATACCTGTTAGAGACCCTCCGCCACCTTTGGGAGGGCCCCGAGGAACGCCGCCGCTTCTGAGATGGCCCTGGGGGCGCCATAACCCCTGGAAGACACCCTGGGGCTGCTACAACCCCTGGTAGGGCCCCTGGGGGCGTTACTGCTCCTGAGAGGGCTCCGGGTAGCCGCACCTACCCTAGGGAGGGTCCTTGGGGGCGTCGCCGCCCCTGGGACGGCCACTGGGTGCGCCGACGTTCCTGCGAGGGCCCCTTAGGGCGCCGCACCTGGTAGGGCAAATGGGAGGGCCCATGGGAACGTTGCCCCCGGAGGGCATCTGGGGGCAGTTGTTTTTGCAATACTTAGAACAATGGGAGATATGACGTTAAATAAATAAACCGCCCATGGCATTTCCAGTATCATCGAATTATGAACAATGTAAAGGAGAATAAATATCCAACAGGAAAACATAAATTGGGGTGTTGTGCTGACTGACTGCTCTGTTCTCCTATTGGCTGTTATTTGATGTATTTATATTTTAGTCCCCTGTGGTGAAAGAAGACTAGAGTCGACCTTTTTTTAGGTTTTATTGTTCATATAACTGACCAAGGGTAGTATGGCATCTGGAAGAGAACAAAAGAATATTCTAGTAAGTGAAGGGAACAATGAAAATGACTAATATAATATAACCCCAAACAAAACAAAACCCAATGATAAGAAACATAACATATATATACAAACGCACGTAACAAGACAGAAGACCCTGGCAAGCCCTGGGGTCCCAGCAACACCTAAAGAGGTCCCCTGAGGGCGCTGCCTCCATTGGGAAGGCCACTAGTAGCGCTTCAGCATCTGGGAGGGCACCTGAAAGCCCCACCGCCCCTGGGAAGGCCCCTGGGGGCACCAACGACCCTCCCAGGGCTCCTGGGACTCCACATCCCCTGGCAGGGCCCCTCAGAGCGCCGTTGTCCCTGAGAGGGCTCCGGGGGCGCTACTGGCACTGGGTGCGCCGTTGCCCCTGGGAATGCCCCTGGAAGCGCCGCACCTGTCAGGGCAAATGGGAGGCCCCCAGGGAGCGCTGCCCTGTACGGCCCCTGGGTTCAGTTGTTTTTGCACAATTTAGAAAAATGGGAGATATGACGTTATATAAATACACCGCCCATCGAATTTCCAGTATCATCGCATAATAAACAATGTAAAGGAGAATAAATATCCAACAGGAAAACATAAATTGGGGTGTTGTGCTGACTGACTGCTCTGTTCTCCTATTGGCTGTTATTTGGTGTAGTTACATTTTAGTCCACCAATCACAGTTAAGTAAGGGATTGGTGGACGTATGCAATATGTACGACACCACAACCAAGCAAACTATAGGGATCCTGCGAGGGGACGTCTCTAGTAGGCCCCGTGGTGTCGCCCCCGCCCCTGGGAGGGCCCCTGGGAGTACCGCTATCCATGGGAGGGCCCCTGGGGGCGCCGACAACCTTGGGAGGGCCCTGGGGGCGCCACAGCCCCTGGAAGAGGCCCTGGGGGGGGGGGCGGGGGCAAAATACCTGTTAGAGACCCTCCGCCACCTTTGGGAGGGCCCCGAGGAACGCCGCCGCTTCTGAGATGGCCCTGGGGGCGCCATAACCCCTGGAAGACACCCTGGGGCTGCTACAACCCCTGGTAGGGCCCCTGGGGGCGTTACTGCTCCTGAGAGGGCTCCGGGTAGCCGCACCTACCCTAGGGAGGGTCCTTGGGGGCGTCGCCGCCCCTGGGACGGCCACTGGGTGCGCCGACGTTCCTGCGAGGGCCCCTTAGGGCGCCGCACCTGGTAGGGCAAATGGGAGGGCCCATGGGAACGTTGCCCCCGGAGGGCATCTGGGGGCAGTTGTTTTTGCAATACTTAGAACAATGGGAGATATGACGTTAAATAAATAAACCGCCCATGGCATTTCCAGTATCATCGAATTATGAACAATGTAAAGGAGAATAAATATCCAACAGGAAAACATAAATTGGGGTGTTGTGCTGACTGACTGCTCTGTTCTCCTATTGGCTGTTATTTGATGTATTTATATTTTAGTCCCCTGTGGTGAAAGAAGACTAGAGTCGACCTTTTTTTAGGTTTTATTGTTCATATAACTGACCAAGGGTAGTATGGCATCTGGAAGAGAACAAAAGAATATTCTAGTAAGTGAAGGGAACAATGAAAATGACTAATATAATATAACCCCAAACAAAACAAAACCCAATGATAAGAAACATAACATATATATACAAACGCACGTAACAAGACAGAAGACCCTGGCAAGCCCTGGGGTCCCAGCAACACCTAAAGAGGTCCCCTGAGGGCGCTGCCTCCATTGGGAAGGCCACTAGTAGCGCTTCAGCATCTGGGAGGGCACCTGAAAGCCCCACCGCCCCTGGGAAGGCCCCTGGGGGCACCAACGACCCTCCCAGGGCTCCTGGGACTCCACATCCCCTGGCAGGGCCCCTCAGAGCGCCGTTGTCCCTGAGAGGGCTCCGGGGGCGCTACTGGCACTGGGTGCGCCGTTGCCCCTGGGAATGCCCCTGGAAGCGCCGCACCTGTCAGGGCAAATGGGAGGCCCCCAGGGAGCGCTGCCCTGTACGGCCCCTGGGTTCAGTTGTTTTTGCACAATTTAGAAAAATGGGAGATATGACGTTATATAAATACACCGCCCATCGAATTTCCAGTATCATCGCATAATAAACAATGTAAAGGAGAATAAATATCCAACAGGAAAACATAAATTGGGGTGTTGTGCTGACTGACTGCTCTGTTCTCCTATTGGCTGTTATTTGGTGTAGTTACATTTTAGTCCACCAATCACAGTTAAGTAAGGGATTGGTGGACGTATGCAATATGTACGACACCACAACCAAGCAAACTATAGGGATCCTGCGAGGGGACGTCTCTAGTAGGCCCCGTGGTGTCGCCCCCGCCCCTGGGAGGGCCCCTGGGAGTACCGCTATCCATGGGAGGGCCCCTGGGGGCGCCGACAACCTTGGGAGGGCCCTGGGGGCGCCACAGCCCCTGGAAGAGGCCCTGGGGGGGGGCGGGGGCAAAATACCTGTTAGAGACCCTCCGCCACCTTTGGGAGGGCCCCGAGGAACGCCGCCGCTTCTGAGATGGCCCTGGGGGCGCCATAACCCCTGGAAGACACCCTGGGGCTGCTACAACCCCTGGTAGGGCCCCTGGGGGCGTTACTGCTCCTGAGAGGGCTCCGGGTAGCCGCACCTACCCTAGGGAGGGTCCTTGGGGGCGTCGCCGCCCCTGGGACGGCCACTGGGTGCGCCGACGTTCCTGCGAGGGCCCCTTAGGGCGCCGCACCTGGTAGGGCAAATGGGAGGGCCCATGGGAGCGTTGCCCCCGGAGGGCATCTGGGGGCAGTTGTTTTTGCAATACTTAGAACAATGGGAGATATGACGTTAAATAAATAAACCACCCATGGCATTTCCAGTATCATCGAATTATGAACAATGTAAAGGAGAATAAATATCCAACAGGAAAACATAAATTGGGGTGTTGTGCTGACTGACTGCTCTGTTCTCCTATTGGCTGTTATTTGGTGTAGTTACATTTTAGTCCACCAATCACAGTTAAGTAAGGGATTGGTGGACGTATGCAATATGTACGACACCACAACCAAGCAAACTATAGGGATCCTGCGAGGGGACGTCTCTAGTAGGCCCCGTGGTGTCGCCCCCGCCCCTGGCCCCTGGGAGTACCGCTATCCATGGGAGGGCCCCTGGGGGCGCCGACAACCTTGGGAGGGCCCTGGGGGCGCCACAGCCCCTGGAAGAGGCCCTGGGGGGGGGGGCGGGGGCAAAATACCTGTTAGAGACCCTCCGCCACCTTTGGGAGGGCCCCGAGGAACGCCGCCGCTTCTGAGATGGCCCTGGGGGCGCCATAACCCCTGGAAGACACCCTGGGGCTGCTACAACCCCTGGTAGGGCCCCTGGGGGCGTTACTGCTCCTGAGAGGGCTCCGGGTAGCCGCACCTACCCTAGGGAGGGTCCTTGGGGGCGTCGCCGCCCCTGGGACGGCCACTGGGTGCGCCGACGTTCCTGCGAGGGCCCCTTAGGGCGCCGCACCTGGTAGGGCAAATGGGAGGGCCCATGGGAACGTTGCCCCCGGAGGGCATCTGGGGGCAGTTGTTTTTGCAATACTTAGAACAATGGGAGATATGACGTTAAATAAATAAACCGCCCATGGCATTTCCAGTATCATCGAATTATGAACAATGTAAAGGAGAATAAATATCCAACAGGAAAACATAAATTGGGGTGTTGTGCTGACTGACTGCTCTGTTCTCCTATTGGCTGTTATTTGATGTATTTATATTTTAGTCCCCTGTGGTGAAAGAAGACTAGAGTCGACCTTTTTTTAGGTTTTATTGTTCATATAACTGACCAAGGGAAGTATGGCATCTGGAAGAGAACAAAAGAATATTCTAGTAAGTGGAGGGAACAATGAAAATGACTAATATAATATAACCCCAAACAAAACAAAACCCAATGATAAGAAACATAACATATATATACAAACGCACGTAACAAGACAGAAGACCCTGGCAAGCCCTGGGGTCCCAGCAACACCTAAAGAGGTCCCCTGAGGGCGCTGCCTCCATTGGGAAGGCCACTAGTAGCGCTTCAGCATCTGGGAGGGCACCTGAAAGCTCCACCGCCCCTGGGAAGGCCCCTGGGGGCACCAACGACCCTCCCAGGGCTCCTGGGACTCCACATCCCCTGGCAGGGCCCCTCAGAGCGCCGTTGTCCCTGAGAGGGCTCCGGGGGCGCTACTGGCACTGGGTGCGCCGTTGCCCCTGGGAATGCCCCTGGAAGCGCCGCACCTGTCAGGGCAAATGGGAGGCCCCCAGGGAGCGCTGCCCTGTACGGCCCCTGGGTTCAGTTGTTTTTGCACAATTTAGAAAAATGGGAGATATGACGTTATATAAATACACCGCCCATCGAATTTCCAGTATCATCGCATAATAAACAATGTAAAGGAGAATAAATATCCAACAGGAAAACATAAATTGGGGTGTTGTGCTGACTGACTGCTCTGTTCTCCTATTAGCTGTTATTTGGTGTAGTTACATTTTAGTCCACCAATCACAGTTAAGTAAGGGATTGGTGGACGTATGCAATATGTACGACACCACAACCAAGCAAACTATAGGGATCCTGCGAGGGGACGTCTCTAGTAGGCCCCGTGGTGTCACCCCCGCCCCTGGGAGGGCCCCTGGGAGTACCGCTATCCATGGGAGGGCCCCTGGGGGCGCCGACAACCTTGGGAGGGCCCTGGGGGCGCCACAGCCCCTGGAAGAGGCCCTGGGGGGGGGGGCGGGGGCAAAATACCTGTTAGAGACCCTCCGCCACCTTTGGGAGGGCCCCGAGGAACGCCGCCGCTTCTGAGATGGCCCTGGGGGGCCATAACCCCTGGAAGACACCCTGGGGCTGCTACAACCCCTGGTAGGGCCCCTGGGGGCGTTACTGCTCCTGAGAGGGCTCCGGGTAGCCGCACCTACCCTAGGGAGGGTCCTTGGGGGCGTCGCCGCCCCTGGGACGGCCACTGGGTGCGCCGACGTTCCTGCGAGGGCCCCTTAGGGCGCCGCACCTGGTAGGGCAAATGGGAGGGCCCATGGGAGCGTTGCCCCCGGAGGGCATCTGGGGGCAGTTGTTTTTGCAATACTTAGACCAATGGGAGATATGACGTTAAATAAATAAACCGCCCATGGCATTTCCAGTATCATCGAATTATGAACAATGTAAAGGAGAATAAATATCCAACAGGAAAACATAAATTGGGGTGTTGTGCTGACTGACTGCTCTGTTCTCCTATTGGCTGTTATTTGATGTATTTATATTTTAGTCCCCTGTGGTGAAAGAAGACTAGAGTCGACCTTTTTTTAGGTTTTATTGTTCATATAACTGACCAAGGGTAGTATGGCATCTGGAAGAGAACAAAAGAATATTCTAGTAAGTGAAGGGAACAATGAAAATGACTAATATAATATAACCCCAAACAAAACAAAACCCAATGATAAGAAACATAACATATATATACAAACGCACGTAACAAGACAGAAGACCCTGGCAAGCCCTGGGGTCCCAGCAACACCTAAAGTGGTCCCCTGAGGGTGCTGCCTCCATTGGGAAGGCCACTAGTAGCGCTTCAGCATCTGGGAGGGCACCTGAAAGCCCCACCGCCCCTGGGAAGGCCCCTGGGGGCACCAACGACCCTCCCAGGGCTCCTGGGACTCCACATCCCCTGGCAGGGCCCCTCAGAGCGCCGTTGTCCCTGAGAGGGCTCCGGGGGCACTGAGTGCGCCGTTGCCCCTGGGAATGCCCCTGGAAGCGCCGCACCTGTCAGGGCAAATGGGAGGCCCCCAGGGAGCGCTGCCCTGTACGGCCCCTGGGTTCAGTTGTTTTTGCACAATTTAGAAAAATGGGAGATATGACGTTATATAAATACACCGCCCATCGAATTTCCAGTATCATAGCATAATAAACAATGTAAAGGAGAATAAATATCCAACAGGAAAACATAAATTGGGGTGTTGTGCTGACTGACTGCTCTGTTCTCCTATTGGCTGTTATTTGGTGTAGTTACATTTTAGTCCACAATCACAGTTAAGTAAGGGATTGGTGGGCGTATGCAATATGTACGACACCACAACCAACAACTATAGGGATCCCTGCGAGGACGTCTCTATTAGGCCCGTGGTGTGCCCCCGCCCTGGGGCCTGGGGTACCGCTATCCATGGGGCCTGGGGCCGCCGACAGCTGTGGGAGGGCCTGGGAAGCGCCAGCCCCTGGAAGGGCCCGGGGGGGCGGGGGCAAAATGCCTGTTAGAGACCCTCCGCCACCTTTGGGAGGCGGAACGCCGCCGCTGGTGGCCCTGGGGCCTCCTTAACCCCTGGGGTACCCTGGGGCTGCTACCTGGCCCTGGTGCAGGGCCCTGGGGAGCCGTGCCTGCTCCTGAGAGGGCTCGGGTAGCCACCTACCTAGGAGGAGGGTCATGAGGGGCGTCACCGCCCTGGGACTTGACCACTGGGTGCGCCGACGTTCCTGCCGAGGAGCCCCTAAGGGCGCCGCACCTGGTATTCAAGGCAAATGGGAGGGGGCCCATGGGGCGTTGCCCCGGAGAAGTCTGACATCTGGGGGCAGTTAATTTTGCAATACCTAGACCAATGGGAGATATGACGTTAAATAAATAAACCGCCCATGGCATTTCCAGTATCATCGAATTATGAACAATGTAAAGGAGAATAAATATCCAACAGGAAAACATAAATTGGGGTGTTGTGCTGACTGACTGCTCTGTTCTCCTATTGGCTGTTATTTGATGTATTTATATTTTAGTCCCCTGTGGTGAAAGAAGACTAGAGTCGACCTTTTTTTAGGTTTTATTGTTCATATAACTGACCAAAGGGTAGTATGGCATCCAGAGAACAAAAAGAATATTCTAATGAAGTGAAGGGAACAATGAAAAGCTAATATAATATATCTAAAACAAAACAAAACCCAATGATAAGAAACATAACATATATATGCAAACGCACATGTGTAACAAGACAGAAGACCTGGCAAGCCCTAGGGTCCCAGCAAACACCTAAGGGGCCCTGAGGGCTGCTGCCTCCATTAGGAAGAGCCACTAGTAGCGCTTCAGCATCTGGGAGGGCACCTGAAAGCCCCACCGCCCCTGGGAAGGCCCCTGGGGGCACCAACGACCCTCCCAGGGCTCCTGGGACTCCACATCCCCTGGCAGGGCCCCTCAGAGCGCCGTTGTCCCTGAGAGGGCTCCGGGGGCGCTACTGGCACTGGGTGCGCCGTTGCCCCTGGGAATGCCCCTGGAAGCGCCGCACCTGTCAGGGCAAATGGGAGGCCCCCACGGAGCGCTGCCCTGTACGGCCCCTGGGTTCAGTTGTTTTTGCACAATTTAGAAAAATGGGAGATATGACGTTATATAAATACACCGCCCATCGAATTTCCAGTATCATCGCATAATAAACAATGTAAAGGAGAATAAATATCCAACAGGAAAACATAAATTGGGGTGTTGTGCTGACTGACTGCTCTGTTCTCCTATTGGCTGTTATTTGGTTTAGTTACATTTTAGTCCACCAATCACAGTTAAGTAAGGGATTGGTGGACGTATGCAATATGTACGACACCACAACCAAGCAAACTATAGGGATCCTGCGAGGGGACGTCTCTAGTAGGCCCCGTGGTGTCGCCCCCGCCCCTGGGAGAGCCCCTGAGAGTACCGCTATCCATGGGAGGGCCCCTAAGGGCGCCGACAACCTTGGGAGGGCCCTGGGTGCGCCACAGCCCCTGGAAGAGGCCCTGGGGGGGGGGGCGGGGGCAAAATACCTGTTAGAGACCCTCCGCCACCTTTGGGAGGGCCCCGAGGAACGCCGCCGCTTCTGAGATGGCCCTGGGGGCGCCATAACCCCTGGAAGACACCCTGGGGCTGCTACAACCCCTGGTAGGGCCCCTGGGGGCGTTACTGCTCCTGAGAGGGCTCCGGGTAGCCGCACCTACCCTAGGGAGGGTCCTTGGGGGCGTCGCCGCCCCTGGGACGGCCACTGGGTGCGCCGACGTTCCTGCGAGGGCCCCTTAGGGCGCCGCACCTGGTAGGGCAAATGGGAGGGCCCATGGGAACGTTGCCCCCGGAGGGCATCTGGGGTCAGTTGTTTTTGCAATACTTAGAACAATGGGAGATATGACGTTAAATAAATAAACCGCCCATGGCATTTCCAGTATCATCGAATTATGAACAATGTAAAGGAGAATAAATATCCAACAGGAAAACATAAATTGGGGTGTTGTGCTGACTGACTGCTCTGTTCTCCTATTGGCTGTTATTTGATGTATTTATATTTTAGTCCCCTGTGGTGAAAGAAGACTAGAGTCGACCTTTTTTTAGGTTTTATTGTTCATATAACTGACCAAGGGTAGTATGGCATCTGGAAGAGAACAAAAGAATATTCTAGTAAGTGAAGGGAACAATGAAAATGACTAATATAATATAACCCCAAACAAAACAAAACCCAATTATAAGAAACATAACATATATATACAAACGCACGTAACAAGACAGAAGACCCTGGCAAGCCCTGGGGTCCCAGCAACACCTAAAGAGGTCCCCTGAGGGCGCTGCCTCCATTGGGAAGGCCACTAGTAGCGCTTCAGCATCTGGGAGGGCACCTGAAAGCCCCACCGCCCCTGGGAAGGCCCCTGGGGGCACCAACGACCCTCCCAGGGCTCCTGGGACTCCACATCCCCTGGCAGGGCCCCTCAGAGCGCCGTTGTCCCTGAGAGGGCTCCGGGTTTGTGAGACCCGCGTGGCCACTTCCGTGGGCAAGGCACAGAGCAGGGCGCAATACTTTTGCCAGTCGGTCGCTCGTGAGCCGGCGAGGGCTGCTTCCACATGGTCAAGCCAGTCCTCGACGTTGTGGTTGAAAGTCGGCAGAGAGATCCGTCCGTCCTCCATCCTGTGTGAGTGCTTATCTCCGGGAGTCACCATTGTAGGGGTATCGAGATATTAATGTTGTCTAGCACTCAGGATGGAAGGAAACTCTAATGTGGTTTTCTTGTATAATATAAGTTACATGATAGACAGTCTGGTGCTGGAGGTGCTGGAGGAGGTGTTGCTTGTTCAGGAAGATGGGCAGAATGAGAGTTGGTTGGTGAGGAAGCTCAGAGAAGGACAGCTGGTGGGTCGCCATGCTCGCTGGCGGGAGCGAGGACCGCCAGGCAGGCGAGGAGAAGCTAAGGCAGCCAGGCAGCGGCGGAGGAGGAGGTGTTGCTTGTTCAAGAAGTATGGTCAGAATGAATCTCAATGGAGAGACAGAGCTTATATACCCAGCAGCAGCCGCCAGTCCTCTATGAATCATGTTGGGAAAACCCAGAAAGTTGCCGGTGAGTAGTTTCGTTGCTAAGCAACCGTACCATCTGGGGACAGCTCTCGCTTGGTTGCTAGGCGACGGCACGTCGGAATGAGGTAACAGGTGGTGGCTGTGGCTACGCAGTTGTAAGCAGTTGTAGGGGAGACGTCCACTACAGTGTAAATATTAACCTCTCTTCTCCCCCTTTACAAATGTTTAACAGTAGTGGGATAGGTAAACTTCTACCCCCCTACATGGGCCTAAAAGCTCCTGATTGGACAGCCATAATTTCGAGAATCAGTTATTGATTAATCTCAATAGAAATATTTGCAAATAAACATGTTCGTATGCTATGCTGCTTATTTTTCTCTTTAGTTAACTATGTTTTATAATTTACTGTGGATTTATTTTAATATTTGAGACAATTAATAATTTTTTTGTTACCTTTACTTTTACTTGAGTTGCATTTTGTCATTGTAACAATACTTTTAAGTAACAAAGCCCGGTACTTTTTACAACTCTGGTGTTAAAAAAAAAAACATCAACTTGAGAAAAAAGATCCTGTAATAATAAAATCTCAAGTTATCAGAGTGTGACCCATTACAAACTCCATTTTCTTTGAAGTTACAACAACATAAACTAAAACATTCTAAATAGCAGACAATATGAACGAACATGAACTCACCAAACCTAATCATGCGTACAACTTAACCTGTACTGTGAAAAAAATCTACAGTTTAGTAACTGTTTCGAGTCTGAACTGATTTACTCATGTGTCCCTCTCGTTGTAGAGTCGCTCCTACTGGACTAATTATAAATAGGTACTTATATTGTCATCTAGTAATAACGCGATTCAATACCATTTTGTGCCCAGGAGCAGTTTGGTAATAACTCGCATCCAGCTAATTAAATTAGAATTATGATCTGTAACTTATATATTATAAATAAAGATAATTTTAAAAGTTTTAATTTCATATATTCGACGATGAAAATTCCTGTATATGCCACTGATCGGCTTGTTAGCCGCTTGGGCGATCGGTCACGCCTCTTTTCATTTATATTCTTCACCAAAAGATCGGCTCGCTAGCCGCCCGGGCGATCGGTCACGTCTCTGTCACGCACTGTTGGCAAATACTGAGCATGCACCGGCTCCTGAATGTACCTGAACCCGCTCCAGTGTTGGTCAAGTCTTCTCTTGAAAGAGCTCACACTTGGTGCCGTCACAACACTCTCTGGTAGATTGTTCCAAGAGTTTACAACCCTCACTCCGAAAAAGTTTGCCCTCACGGTTTTCTGGACTTGCGGCTTCTTCAATCTTGAGCTGCATGACCCCTTGGCTGGGGTGGCGAGCGTCACCAGCTCAAGTAAGGACCTCCAACTGAGTAGTGCCCCTGAGATGCTTATAAACCTCAACTAGGTCCCCCCTTGCCCGTCTGTAGTATAAGCTAGAGCAAGTTCAGGCGCTCCAATCTCTCAGGAGTAGCTGAGGTGTGCTTGAAGTGCAGGCACCAGTTTAGTGGCCTCCTTTGAACATTTTCAACCAACTGACAGTCCCTAGCATATCTCGAGGGACCAGATGGGGTGACAGTACTCCAGATGGGGAAGCACTTCACTCCTGAAGATCGTCACGAGGACGGACCGTCTAGATATCTGAACGACTTCTTATAAAAGGCCAATAATTTATTTGCCTGATTTACCTTCTTCTCACAATGGCCCGAGAACTTCAGCTCATTGTCAACATACACACCTAGGTCCTTCTCACACACAGTCTCAACTAGTACATTTTCTTCATCCCGTTGGGACATATGATACGCCTCCTTACCGTTGGTACGCCCCAGGTGCATCCTCTTACACTTCGTGACATTGAATCTCAGCAGCCATTTTCATCGCCTCAGGAATTTTCTTTGTTTGCGTCACGGTATTTCCTGGTACGAAATTAGCTTTGAAATTTTCCTTCTTCATGAAAATATTGCACCACTGTTAAAAACAATGTCTAACAGTCCAAGCGCACCACGTCGCCCGCCTCCTGACCTTGAGCTCGACAAATTGGTTAACAGTGCGTCAATAAATAATTCTTTGATCAAGATAGATGTTTAATCCACTTGCTAAATCTTAATATACTTTACAAACTTTTTACTCAAATGATTGTATATCAAGTATGCTATATATCAATTACACGAGGGGAAATAAAATCTCACGAAATAACCAAAATCATCTACGAGGCGGTATGTGAGGCTATCATGTTTTGAGTGCGTGCACTATTTGCTTCGCCACACTGGAGCTGGGTTAGTGTGTGTTGTTGTAGGTTTATGAGAAGAGGTGTAATCTTAATATCTACAACTAAAATGTTCTCGATAAATATACAGTGAATTAACATCTAAACTGTGCGTCATGGTCGTGTCTAAGGTAATACGATACGTCACCCTGCCGTTTCGTATGGTGTGGCTGGTGTTGTATAATTGCGTCATGACCACGCTCTCCATCACCCCTATGATACGGGAGGTAATGCATGAGCACTTTCTCAAGAAGACAGACGTGAAGAAGGGAAGCCCATATATAGACTTCGTTAAGGATGGTGCTGCAGACTACCGCTATTTTTGGGAGAGGACCAAATTATTTTTGTTCATGTAAGTGAATCCCAATAGGCACACACATGAACATACGTATCCCTTATCTAAACTCACGCTAACTTTTATATATTTATATATGCTGCTTATGAAGTAATGTACTGTAAGCACAGTAGCGACTGATATGCGAGCACGGAAAATTATTGTGATGTATTGCAGAGGATGATTAAGTTACGTCAATGCAATATGAGACACTTCTGTAAACACATTCATTCATGGCCGTCTTGTTTAAAAAAATCATTTGAAAATTTGAATCGATGGTTGATGAGTGAGTGCATGTTAAGACACTAAATTATATCTGATGTACAGGATTTTCTAATTTTATATAAATATTAGCCTAATAAGGGTGAATCATCGTGACCATGAAGAGTCTCAGATTTTGTTGTGGTCTGGCGAGATGACGCAGGGGGGGGAGAAGGTACTGAACCTGAGGGAGGACTGGGAGGAGGTCGGTGACGAGGAAGACTGGGGGGCAGTGACGAGGAGGGACTGGGAGGAGGGTGACGAGGAGGACTGGGAGGAGGGTGACGAGGAGGACTGGGAGGAGGGTGACGAGGAGGACTGGGAGGAGGGTGACCAGGAGGACTGGGAGGAGGGTGCTGAGGAAGACTGGGAGGAGGGTGACAAGGAAGACTGGGAGGGGGGTGATGTCGAGGAGGACTGGGGGAGGGTGGCGAGAAAGGCTGCGGGATTCACAAATCACTAAATACAGACGAATAGATGAACAGATAAATGAATGTATATTTTACATATGACACTGCATTGTATTTGTCCACGAATATGTGTCCATATGATACTCAAGGAAGAATAGTTGTGGTGTGTCTAAAACTAATAGTCATAGTGTGGTGGCACGCTACCTCAATACCTCTAATCCATCAGTGAAGGTTATCGTCAACATGGGGGACGAGGGTGAGTGGTGGAGGGAGACCAGCCAAGACAAACTGCTCACTCATGATACGTTTCAGTTTTCCCAGCAAAGTTATAAAAATTCATTGCGTCCAAGGGGGTAAACATCCATGGTTATTATTGTGTAATAATGAAGTGCAGAATCAGATAATTTCCCTGTGTCGTATTGGCAGCGTCTATTAGCCTAGAAAAATAATTACTATATAGTTTGCTGGGTGATGTCCATATACAAAGATCCCTCGGGTGAAGCTGCAGTAACTATCTTGTTTTCTTTGTAAATTTTAACTAACCTTTCTTCCCTTTCACTTCTATTACACAATCTGTGTGGTCGTACTTCCTGTGCTTTTCTCCCCTTCCCTGCCTTTGCAATAGAATCTGGGAGGTCCGGAGCTAATGTGGATTGTTGCTTTGCTACGTTAAGATTTAATCATACAATAGAATCATCTTCTACAATAATTTCCAATAAGTTCATTGAACTTCACAACTTCTAATGCCTTATTTAAATCTTCAAAAGATAATCCCAATACGTCAGTGATACTATAATTTATTGATGCATAGACCAGAATTATTGCCATGTCAATAAATATAACTTGAAACCTAATTAACATAATCCTATCTGACAATGACCAATATTCCTTAACATAATTGTCAACCTCTGCTTTGTGCAATTCTCAGTCATTTCAACTCCTGACTATATAAAGAGATTCTTCTCCAACAATGCTATCTGAACTTTTTCATTTTACTTCATTTAATGCTAGAATGTCTCATGTAATCCTTTCATTTCCCTGCAAACTTTGCACCGTCATATAATATTACAGGCTCCTATCATGAGTTTGTCTTCTCATACTTCGATTGAGACAGTGTTTACCAGCTAAAGGTGGCACACTGCCTACAACCACCAGAAAAAACAATATACTGTATAAGTGAATACTGTAGGTTCATAGAAAGTTTTAAATAAACAATAGTGGTCAGAGGTCACTCAAACCTGACTCTCGTAAAGGTCCCGACCACCACACGATCAGGTTTAAAGAAAGGAAACTAATAAAACCTCGACGATATGGACGAGGGAGTAATCTCACCTCCAAAAGTGGGCCCAGCTTCACTAACACTGCTGAGATACGAAGTTAACTAATTGTGCTATCTACTGCACATCTCTACTACGTACTACTAGCTATGCTATCTACTGCGCATCCACACTTGGGCGAACCAAGGCAAAACTTCTTCAGAGTAGATAAAAGATATTCTTCCAAAGGCAAAACTAGTTATGGTCTTTCCTTATTTAGAAAGTGGGCGGAGATGAAGGGAAACTATCCAATCACATTCGTCGATCCATACACTCTAGACAAGATGATGCCTGTGTGAAATGTTTTACATAAGAACATAAGAAAATAAGAGTCTGCAATAGGCCGGTTGGCCTGTGCATGGCAGCTCCTGTCGAGAGTTACTACCACTCTCAATCATCCATGAATCTATCTAGCCTCCTTTTAAAACTTCCCAGCGTTCCAGCACTTACTACAAAGTTGCTAAGCTTGTTCCACTCGTCCACCACCCTATTTGTGAACCAGGTCCTTCCTATCTCCCTCCTAAACCTTAACTTATCCAACTTAAATCCGTTGCTACGATTCCTATCCTGCTCGGATATTATAAGAACTTTATCTATATCCCCTTTATTGATTCCTTTCACCCACTTAAATACTTCTATCATATCTCCCCGCACTCTTCGTCTGTCTAGGGAATGAAAGTTTAGTTTCTTTAACCTATCCTGTTATGGAAGGTTTCTAAGTCCCGGAATAATTTTCGTCATTCTTCGCTGCACCGACTCCAGTGAATTACTGTAGATATCCATTCTATAATAAGGGCACCAGAACTGAACCGCATAATCGAGGTGCGGCCTGACTAGCGCAAGATATAGTTGCAATAAGACCTCTGCACTCTTGTTACTTACACTTCTAGATATAAAACCTAATACTCTGCTTGCCTTATTTCGGGTTGTATAATAGAGAAAACTGCCTTATTCCTGCCTTGCAAAAGCTTACGAGATCTCAAAAGTCACCGTAAGCTATGAAGAAAAGTCAGTCATTTTAAACTGAGGTGTGGACATCGTAATTCTTTAGTGAATCACCACCGCAGAAGTTTATGAACTTTTTAGCACTTATGATGTTCGTAACCTGGGCGTCTGGCAGCCGCTGGCCACCCTGTGTGCAAAGACCAAACAGTGCCGAGGCAACCACCAAGGCAATTACGTGATACGACTAGTGTAGAGCCTCTGCTGGGGAGTGTGGCCCTATATTAGCACTCCTGGTCTCTGCTTCACCACTAGATTCTTGGTGGGTTACCTTTAATTAGTTTATAGTGTCACCAGCTTCCGACTCGTAGTTGCCGCACTAGCTACTTGAGTCAACCAACACCATGGCCGCCTCGAAGATCATGGTTTATACCTTGTTGCCATGGAGAATATTTACTGCTCTGGTGGTGGCGTTTACTGCGGCTCTCCTCGTCCCGCTCTTGAAGTTATGCCCGGAGTTTGTGTCCACTTTCATTATTGGCAAAAAGAACTTTTTAAAGAGCAATATTCATATCGTCTACTTGAAGGTTCACCTACGTGATCCGCAACAGTTCTGGCAAATACTAAAGTCAAATCTTAGAAGGTGAGCTGTGAAGATTATTATTTATTTGTTCTTACAAATTTTTCTTCTTGTAGTAACATGTTTACATACAACGAAGTGTAATTATACACAATACATATGGTCGTGATCGTCGTCTCGTTCATACGTGTTGACCTTTTTGACCTTCATATATCAGTCCCGCCACAACAGCATTTTTATAATAGATGTGCAATATAATTCTTTGTAGGCGAGTTAACTTATCTTCAAACATCACTATTTTGTTTAACATCAGCAAGTTTCTGCCAGAATTAACATCTTAGTAAAATCACAATGTGGAACAGTAGTACACCTGCACTAACCTTCAATTCCGATATGGTATGTTTACAGAGATCAGGACGTAAATTTTATAAGATAAGTTGGCTTTCGGGCGTTATCACTTGTCAACACAACCCCTGAGAGTACTGAGGTGAGACTGTGGACTCGGTGCCTCAGAGGGATGTCAGACCACCTGGCGTTTATCAGTGTATACCATAAACAACCATCATCACAACAACGCATGTATTTAAAATTTTGTGTTCGTTGTTGCTGTATTTCAATATGAAGTTTTTACTCTCTGAAAGTGATTGCTGTGCAGATATTGATATTGCACCCGGACACACACACACACACACACACAAAATACCACACCCGACACACACACACACACACATAATACCACACCCGACACACACACTAACACCCTCAACACATAAGCACACACTGCCATCCCCGACAGATACTAACACACACACACACACACACACACACACA